CACATTTGTGTGGTTGACCTGGAGCTCATCTTGGAAACGAAAATTCTGTTCCTCAGGATTGAGTTTCCAGTCGCGCTTTTCCCAGCCCCCGCTTTACCAACAAGCCCGATCCTCAGCTCCTCGGCTGGCAACCCCACTGAAGAGGGTGGGTCGGTCTGCAGCAGATAGTAAAGATAGTAAAGAGCCAGAAGGAAGGCCAGGAGGCAGCCACTGATCACCCAGAGGCTCATAGCGACCCGTCACGGACGAATCGCACAACGGTCGTCAAGCTCCTGGATAAAAACAGAGTGAAATAGGGAACTGGTGAAGGCTGGCAGGTCTTGGACTGAAGTGGGTTTCCTACTTTCTCCTCCCCATCTTTTCTTTACGGTCGGTCATTGCGGGGCGTAGGGTTCCAGACTATCACTGAGAAAAAACAGGCATTCCTCAGCGTCATCCTCCACTACTTCTGAAAGCAAAGGTGAACTGGTTGTGCCTGTTTTACTGGAGGTACCTGGGGAAGCTTTTTCAGATAAATCCCTGCCTTTCAGTTTTAATGAGGAAAAGGCCACAGTTATTCCAACAGCAGTCAAGATTTCAACAGGCCTTCGAATTAAAGTTCCCTTTTGGTCTTAAATGTAGATGCTAAAACGTTAACAACTGCTCTGATCCCTAGATTACACGAGCTCTCCAAACTGTTGCACATTCAGTGGGATGTACAAATGGAGGTCCAACTTCTGCTAGCACCATATTTTTATTGATTGTCTTGCAGATGCTAAAATAAATCTTTAATGGGTTTGCTTGAAAGTTTTTAAAATGCGTTTGACTTATTTGGAGTTTCTGCAAAGTCTTTTTCTTTGGATTTGTGATTTTTTTTTTTATGGCTTATCATTCAAAGTCTGTGCTAAAGATGCCCTTTTCCTTTTCCTCTTCCTCTTCCTAATTTGAACTCAGAATCACTTGTCTGCAAAGTTAAAATCCCAAACATTTGTGGGATTATAGTAGGGGGAGCAGAGCATAAGATTCTATCCTACGCAGATATCTCATGTTTTACAGAAGGAGCAGAAATCTCTATTCCTAATCTCATTTCACTAAAACGAGACTGGGGATCCTCTCTGTTTACACTACCAATTGGAGTAAATCAGACTCGATGCCACTGGTTAGAGGGGCTTTCAAGTAGATTCCAGCTCCCTTGCTTATCATGGTGTAAGAAGTCATAGGAAGTTGCAGGTAATCTTAGTTTTATTCTGTTTTGATGCAAATGGAAAAAAATATTTAGGCAGATGATCTAGAATTCCTTTGAGCATTTTACTCAAAATTCCTTTGAGTAAAGGAGACATCTGGTTAAAATGAACTCCAAGGTTGATTTCCATGTTGAGAGGACTTTCTACTCGTGGTTCATTCTCATTATTTTCAATAAACCTATAGGATATTGAACACATTTCTTTGGTAAGGATTTTCATCACGCAAATTACAATTAACTGCTAAGAAAGCTGGGGTTAACTTCCTATACATTCAGGCTTATCATCGGACGTTTATTCATCCTTATTTGGGGTATGGGCTGTGTAGCGGCATTTTGAATTGGAGACCAGGATGCATTGCATGGAAGCCTACATTGGTTTCTTGGCAGCACTGGAGGCAAAGACATCATTTGCCTGGTGAGGTCAGTGAGGTGAGATCATGGGGCAGGACAACGAAGACAATGGGGCTCTGAAAGAACACAGAGGTCCATTTCCTCTCCTTTCCTAGAGTCAGGGGTGCCCGCAGGGTACGGT